AAAGCGCTTTTTTTAAGCAAACTCAAACACTCCTTAAGGATGCTTTTACTTGGACTGTTTTCAGTTCCAGACCAGACCAGACAAGATTTAAACAGATCAGATCAGGTCAAACTGAAACATATCAGATCGGACCTGACTTAAACAGATCAGATAAGACCAGACTTGACTTCCGTAGTTATGAAATACACCAGACCAGTTCAGATCAGACCAAACTAGACTTAAACAGACCAGATCATATCAGACTTAAACAAATCAGACCAGACTAGATCAACAAATTACGGTCAAGTAAAAGCATCCTAAACAAGTTAAGACATTAGAGAAAAATTGTATGCTATAACGGGGATATTGCAGGAAAAAAGAGAGGAAAAATAATCTATTTTTATTCTTGAATGCACTCGGAAAGTGAAACCCGTCCATTCAGGCAGAGATCACATAATCAATCTATAGGAGTGTTTGCAGTTATTTAAGAAAAACGTTTTTCAGCTTTTGGCTTAAAAAAAGCTGAAAAAAGTGTTATCAAATGACAGCTTCTACTTAAATTAACCACTTAAAAGCTAAAAGGTGGAAGCAGGTGAAAGAGTGCTTTAAAGTGCTTGTCATTTTTTCTATTGCACAAAAAACACTTATTTTACCAAATACTACCAATTTTTACTATTTAAGAATCATTTTTTTCTCAAACACTAACTTTACTATTAAGTACTTTATCTAAAATCACTTTAAAAAATCATTTTTTTTAAATAGAAGCAATTGCAAACGTTAACTATTGCTTTCCACCTTGGTCCCATAACTTAATCTTTTGTTTCTTAACGTGCTCATCAATAAGTCCCGATCTTGCCTACCGGGCCACTAGTTGCAAATATTAATGGGAGGAACTAAGGTAGGATGAAGAAGAAGCAAATAAATGGAAGTTAAATGAGAAAAAACTCAAAAAAGTAGAGTGTCAAAAAACACGTTACAAAAAGGCAATTAATTTGAAGAGATAATAAAAGAAGAAAGGGAAAGTTCCCGAAATGGGACTAAAACAGTTTGATAATTCCAAAATAGGACTGATATGTTTTTTATTCCCAAAATAGGAGTAATTACTGTCAAGTTTGGAAAATACTGTCATGTTTGAACTCTGGTACTGCCAAAACATGACAGTAATTAGTCCTATTTTGGGAATAAAAACATGACAATTCTATTTTATAATTTTCAAACTTTTTAGTCCTATTTGGAGTAATATCTCAAAAAGAAATGAAATAAAAGTACGGGAAGAAAAATAAGAAAAAAGGAAAACATACTACAAGTATTAGCCCTTGATACGACTAAAATAAGCCCAAAATTCAACAATAGGAGTACAATCTCTTTATTCCCAAAATAGGATTAATATATGTTTCTTCTTCTCATTCGATCCCTTTCTATAATTTCCAATAGATTTATTTCATTAAAAAGAAAATCATAGTTTTATGTATAATAAAAATTTAAAAGATAATAAAAATATTTATAAATTAATAATGAAAACGTGAAAAAATAAAATAAAAATGAAAAAATTAGAAAAATTAAACAAATTATTGGAAAAACCTTAAAAAGTCTAAAAAATAAAATAAAAATGCCTAAAAAATATTTAAAAATATGTAGGTCATTGCCAACGCGTCCTCTACCTCCCAGCACCACCAGCTCCGATCGCCGGAAAAATGTCATCTTATGTAAAAAAAAATGCCACATTTCACTGAAAATGTCATGAAGATGACATTTTTATTCTTTGAAAATATCCAGTTTTCTCTGCTTTCTTTTCAAAATTGCCATCATGGTGACATTTTTTCCGGCGACCGAAGGTGGAGGTGATGGAGGTGGCTTAGGTGGTGGTTGAGGTCTGTATATTTTTTAATTATTTTTACGATTTTTATTTTTTTATTTTGATTTTTTTATATTTTATAATGATTGTTTAAAAAATCCTCTTAGGAAGGACAAAGGAAAGGGTAGAATAGGAAGAGTAAGTACTATTTTGGGAATTTAAACTTTCCCAATATACTAGTGGAGCCCGGGAAGGGAATTTTATATGAAAAACTCTACTAAAAAATACGGAGTAAGATGTAATAAACAATCAAAAAGTGGCGAGTAATAAAAAAATAAAAAAATAACTTGAGTTATAGGGGAAAGGGAAAAGTGATATATGAATTGTTTTGAGAATTAGGAGATTATTTAGTTAATGTTTTATAAATATAAATACAAAAGTTGAAGGGAAAGTTCCGGAAATAGGACTAAAAAAGTTTGAAAATTTCAAAATAGGATTGCCATGTTTTTATTCCCAAAATAAGACTAATTACTGCCACACTTGGAAAATACTGCCATGTTTAAAGTCTGGTACTGCCAAAACATGACAGTAATTAGTCCTATTTCGGGAATAAAAACATGGAAGTCCTATTTTGGAATTTTCGAACTATTTTAGTCCTATTTTGGGTAATATCTCAAAGTTGAAACGATAAGTCATTAACCATCAATCTCTTGGATCCGTGAAAGAAGATACTACTTTCGTTTCATTTTATGTGTGTCATTTAGTTTAGACACAATTTTTAATAAAGTGATTGAAAAAATAAAAGTTGTGATTGAGATTTGAGTATAATAAAGTGAAATAGTTTGAATCACATATTTCTTTCTAAAATGGAAAATGTGTCATTTATTTTGGGACAACTCAAAAAAAAAAGTAAGACAGATAAAATAGGATGGAGGGAGTAGAATGCAAATGTGAGATTATTCAAAAACTATATTTAAATGGAACTAATTACTGTAACAGATTACAGATATATTCGAAAAGTCCAACTAAGAAAAGATAAAAAACATTACACATACCAAAAAGATGAATTGAAGTGGACGACAATTTAATTTATTGGTCGATCTCGTAGGCATTTGTGTTTCCTTTGAGATCACGTACATTTGATTGGATAATTCTGAGAGCAGACAATAATAATAATTTTCTTATTATTATTATTACACATTACACGTACATTTAATACAAATACAAGAAAAAACACTTCTAAAGTCTTTTTCATAATGTCCCCAACTCCAAAAAGCTGAGTTACATAAGCTGGCTGCTCTGAGAACAACCACATTTCCTTTCTTATATATGTTCAAAACTCTTCAATGATCCTCTTGCCTGCAATGACAAAAACAGGCATAAGTATTAGAGATATCAATCATTTACTACGTAATTTGAAATCAAAATTTAAAGGAAGATAACATTTTTTTGAAAGAATTAAAGTAATCCAAAACAAACGATTATTATTCAGCTTAATTATAGAATTTGGTAGTATTCAACTTACAACCAGCTTCCTCCATATTGATACTAAAAAAATTAAATTATGTAATTGGTATATTGCGTATAATTTATAAAACATGTATAGTTGAGAAATATATTAGGAGTGTGACTAAAAGAAACGGATCTCTAAAACTAAATATAACTACATTCATGGTGGTTTGAATGTGTGGTATGTGTTTTGATGCCTTCAATTAAAGTTTATTAGTGATATGATACTTTACACCCTAATGTCAAAATGGACGAAAATTCACAATGAAATGAATTGATCTTTTTTTTTGAAAATATAAAATCATTAGATCTTGTACCTCATTATTTCACAATTTTTAACACACATCTATGATCATAAATATATTTCATTCTCTATCAGTAAAAAAAATTAAAAATCAGATTTTGAAAATTTGTAATGGGATGAAATTGACAATATTTTTTTAAAGAAATAATTTTCACAAAATAATAATGTAAAATGTAGTCAAAATAGAGCATGTGAATAGTGTAAAATTCAATATGTTACGATTAAAAAAAGGATAGTATCACCCAATACATAGGGTACATATTCGAATTCTCCCTATTGAGAAGTACTGAATATTTTAATAATAAGACACATAAAACTTTCCTTAATAAGAAACAATTAGAAAGAGACAAATATTTCTAATAATATGATAATGACAACATTATGGGAAAGAAGGTAGGAAATTGCAATAAACTGGAGTAAAAATGTTATAGAATTAAAACTGTTTTTTCTATTGCAATGATTGAAAAATATTACGTAATACTACCTCAGTTCTCTTTTAATCTCAACATTTAACTTTTTTGTATTATTCACCTATTCTACTTGGAATATATTTTATTAATTAATTTATTATAAATTAAATTTATAAAAATATTGTTAAATTCTTCTTATTCTAAAATTTCAAAATAATAATTTTTTAAATTTGTTACTAATAACGAATGAAAGATATTAATGATCAAACTTGTGCGTTGGCAACGTCAAATGTTGACTGTTGCAATTAAAAAGGAATAGAAGAAGTATACTGTAATTAATGATAGAGTAATTAATGTCATAAGGCCTAAAAGCATCTCCAATGTTATAATGTACACGTTGCATATGTGGCATAAGTGATATCCACATAAATATTAGCAAATAAATTATTTCTCTCTTTATTTGAATGATTTTATACAATTTTAGTAAGTTTTTCCCTGCAATGTCAATAACAGTGTGGAAAAAAACTTACCAAAACTGTATATAATCATTCAAATAAGGAGAGAAAGAATTTATTTACTAATATTTATGTGGCTATTTCTTATGGCACGTGTGAACCGTGCACATTTTACCATCGGAGATGCTCTAATATTGCAACGATCTGACAGTAATAACTATAAAATGAAAGTAAATATAGAATACTCTCGTTACTTAACATATTTACAAGAATCGTTTGAAAAAAACTTCCCTAAATAGGTTGTCGAAAAAACTTTGCCTAACCATACCTGGAATTGAAGCCTTTTGAGCCCATGCATGAGTCATAACTAGTGGTAGTAATGGGGAGGAGGGGGTGATGAGTAGGCATATGATTTTGTCGGCGGCGGCGGGGAGCTGTACTTGTATGAAGGTGGGCTGTGGTGGTGCTTTGGGGGCGGTGGGGAGTGAACTGGTGGCGGCGGGGATTTGTACTTATATGGGGGTGGTGGAGAATGCACCGGCGGCGGTGGAGATTTGTACCTATACGGATGTGGTGGGAAATGGACCGGCGGCGGTGGTGATTTGTACTTATATGGAGGTGGTGGGGAGTGCACCGGTGGCGGTGGGGACTTGTACTTGTAAGTGTGGTGGGGCGGCGGTGGCGGAGAGTGTACCGGAGGCGGCGGGGATTTGTACTTATATGGAGGTGGTGGGGAATGCACCGGCGGCGGTGGAGATTTGTACTTGTAAGTGTGGTGGGGCGGCGGTGGCGGAGAGTGTACCGGAGGCGGCGGGGATATGTACTTATATGGAGGTGGTGGGGAATGCACCGGTGGCGGTGGGGATTTGTACTTGTATGTGTGGTGGGGCGGCGGTGGAGGAGAGTGTACCGGAGGCGGCGGGGATTTGTACTTATATGGTGGTGGTGGAGAATGCACCGGGGGAGGAGGTGACTTGTAATTGTAAACAGGGTGGTGGTGGTGTGGTGGTGGATAATGAACCGGCGGTGGTGGAGAATGCACCGGCGGCGGCGGAGACTTGTACTTGTAGACAGGGTGGTGGTGGTGGGGTGGTGGAGGTGAGGGTGAGGGTGGTGGAGTTATGTGGTGGTGGTGCGGCGGTGGAGGGGAGGAGTACACATACTTGCCGCCGGTGGCTTCAGATACCAAAGAAAGGGAAACCAAACACACAAGAAGAGGCAGAAGAAAATAGGCCATTTTAGGGCCGGCCTTAAGTTTCGTGCCAATCATTTCCTAATTTTATGCTCTTAATCCTCCCAAACGCACCTCTCTTTTTATAGCTCAAAATTTACCCTCCATCAACATCAAACTAAGATGAATCCAAAACTTACTTCTGGATCAAGGCTCCGTAATTTGTTAATTTAATCATAAAACCGCAGCTGGCTATGGTAAAAACTAAGATCAGATGTATTATTATAGGAGGTGCCAGTAATGTGTGATGGATGACATGCAGACATGGTTCGGGTTGTCTTTTATTGACTTGGAGTTGGTAGAAGATAGGTTGCAGGCACGTTTTCTGAACAGTCTCTGCAATAATAAAATAAAATTTATTTAAAAAAGAAAATTTGAAAAAGGAAAAAGAAGATAAAGAAATGCTAATTAAGCTAGAGTGCATGGAAACTGCAAAGTATATTTTTTTCACGACATTCCACATTTTTGTTCATAAAGTAAATCTGTAAAGTGAGCAACTTGCCATCTTAAACATACACTCATTAAAGGTTCATTTCCTATCCACTTTTTCCTGTTTTTAGCTTTATTTGTGTGACGTTTTTATCGAACACAACATTTTTATTTCAGAGTGTTGGGTTACGTACTCCGTCATATTTTATGTAAACTCAGAGCCCGTTTGGAGAACTCTGTTTTCGGCTTATCAGGCTTATCAGCCAGCTTTTTCACCAAACACGTAACTTTTACTTTCGCGCGCTGAATTGTGTAATAAGCCGAAAAAGTAAGGTTGGAGTTACTTTTCTGGCTGTATTGGCTGAAGTTACTGTAGAGGACCATTTTAGCTATTTTTACATATAATTTTTTTTTAATTTATTAATAAAATATATTTTTAAAATTTTTTTTTCTTAAATCAGCAGAATCAGCCAAAACAGCCACTCCAGCCAGAATATCATAAATTTCAGCAGAATCAGCCAAAACAGCCGATTTTGGTGCTACCAAACGGGCTCTCAGTATTTTTTGGCAAATATAGTTTCATTTTACGATTTAACATATTTTATTTCTTGGTATATTCTAGCTAATTTGAATTTTGCAACATTATAAAATTTACAATTTAGTTTCTGTATATTCAAATTTTAAATATTCAAATTGATTTAACTATTCATAAAGATGATTTAACTTTGTCGACAATTGACTTTAAAACCGCAAACTACAAATCAATTCCAAATGAAAGATACGGAGTACAACCAAAATAAATAAGATTAGAGTCATTTCACTTACTTGTCAGTCTTAACTTATACTATCGTAGAATTGAAGTAAATAATTTTGGTTTTTCACTATATGACTTCTTCTTTATTTTACCAGTAAAATATGAAGTACTGCGTAGTAAGTATATGTTAGTTTTTTCATATTATCTAGGAAGTATATATGTTAACTTTTATTGTTTGCAAATGAATTATAGACATTTCTATCCGTGTAAAGAATTTTGTTAGTAGGGTGTACAAAAATGTTACCACCAAGGATTTTTTTAAAGAGTTGTACTAGGTGTACATGTTTTTTGTGTGCACCTTTGGCATACTTGTTTATATACGCAGATAAAGTTGTCTGTAGGGCTCACTAGAGTGGGTCCACAAAAATTTTCTGTATACCGACAACTCTATGTGCGTAGAGAGATATGTGTGTAAAAAGTGTAGACAAAAAATGTTACACTAATAACTTTTCTTTTTTAAATACTCAGATCTTGATTCGTTCGGCATACCTTTTCTACCATGTACCAACCCTTACAAATGCAAACTTCATGTGAAATGAACGACGAATTGCATTCATAGCTGGTTCAAAATTTCTTTCACATTGTGGAATTTATTAATACTTCGATTCCACAATTAATTAAGTTCTCTACCCGGCCAGGTCAAACTTTATTAACTTAACTTCAGTTGTTTAACTATATTAATTGATTAATTGATAAAATGTGAAAATATTTTTGAATAATTTGTACGAGTATAAATTACAATATTAAACGATAATGGTCAAACGTCAATCAAATTGACATCAAAATTGAAATAAAATGTTAAGAGTCCATTTGGTAATGTTAAATTTGACTGAATAACTGAAATTGCTAAAACAATGAAATTTTGGATAAACGATTCAATTGATTGACTTTATTGAATTTTCAAAATTGATATTTGTACTACGGAGTATATTTTACATTAAAATAAATAAAAATTTATAAGAACAAAAGTTTAGAAGTCTTTTTCATTAAATTCAGCTAATTTATTTAAAAAATAACTTCAATTTATCTGTATTGATTATTAGAATATTTAGCGCATGAAACTAAAAGTTTGATTAAAAAAAGCAACTAAATAAGACTATCGAAGAACAAGATTACCAAAAGGATTCTATATTTCTATGTATGCAATAATATTTTGATTGCATGCCCAAACTGATGTGTAGCAACAAGAGCGCTCACTCATTCTTTTGCAGTAAATGATAAAAGTTTGGAAAAAACAATATGATTATAATAAAGTTGTACTTTTAGCTAAATACACAATGATAGTAATATAAAAAGAATTACAATTGCATGAATCTTGAAGTTGATTTCAAGTAATTCAGTAGAACCTTTATCCCAAATCCAAAAATATCCAAATAGTTAAGAGATCGAGATAGTGAACATTGTTTTTCAGTTTGTTAGTCTAATTGGCTAAATTGTTTATTAAACACTATTTTGACTTCGATTGTGTAAAAAGGTTGGTGTAGGAGTACATTTTTCTAAATTTTTTTCATAATTTAACCGACTTAACAAATTTCGTCATTTCCACCATAACTTCAACTCAAACATTTCCAAATATTAATTCAATTTTAAATTTGCTTTTAATAAATACGCGGTACTTGAGAGTGGAATTGGACAGAATTTTAGGTGAGGTGTATGCGATATATACTTCGTATGTAAGAAGAACACTACTTTTTTTTGGAAAGAAATTAAAAACACACTGATACAATATATATGTGTCTAATAATTGCCTAATACAAATATGTATTTTTTTCGAAAATATTATCACATATCTCTTATATCCTCTTCCGCGCATCTTTGAGGGTGTGTAACAATGACTGATCATTCCATGGGGTTTATCTGTTTGTAGAAATGATAATTAAAATCAAGAGAAAGTTTCTATCCACTTGCCCCTTCCACCACTCTTTTTAATTGGCCCTAACTAAAATGAGTAGGATATGCCGACATCACTACCCCCCCCCCCCCACTAGCCCACCTCCCACAATAGCCCAAAATAAAGTTTTGACGTAAATGTTGAAAACCAAGTTGATCAGTCAGGAATACTTGCACTTCTTCTGTCACTCTTTCTTCTACATTATTTCAACCAAACATAACATTAAGAAAATCTCGTTACAAGATCATAAGGGTTCAAAGATCAAAGGGAAGGCGGTTCGGATTGCGTTTGGTGCCGCGGTTTACTATCTTTGGCACGCTAGAAACGCCAACCGTTTTGATGATAAGGACGTGAAGAAAGAGGAAGTCATTGCAAAAATCAAGCATGTGGTGTATAAAATACTTTTCAATTTATACCCGCATGACTTGATCACATTCTGAGTAGAAGGCTGGGGCTTGGATTTTATGGAGGCCGCGGTTTTTGTTTTGACCGCTACATGTTTTCTGGAGCGCCGATGCATGGACATTATGGATGACGCGGCTTGGGCACTTGGTACAACGCGGCATGGACATTATGGATGCCGCGGCATGTAGCATGGTCTTTGATATTTTGGTGTTTGTTTTACCTGGCACCTGTTGTACTTTCCTTAGAATTTAGCCTCTGATCTGTGTGCGTGCATCTGCAACACCGATGTATTTTTTTGAACTTCTTGATGAGCCGGGATTTTTACCTGGTTATTTTTGGCATAGAATAGATCGAATAAAAACCTCCTTTTACCCCAACATTATGTGGGGGTGGGGGCGGTTTTAGGAGATCTAGGACATGTGATGTATAGTTTTTCTGGGTATTAATATATATTTACATTTCATTAAAAAAAAAAAAAAAAAAACTCGTTACATATCGTATATTTTTATATTCAATGTATAAGTCATGTATTATTGCATGAACCGAAGGTTATATATTATCGCTAGCAAGATTTAGAATGATGAATTATTTGAAATCTAAATTAATGAAGTTGACATATTTGACCAAAAAAGGCATTATTGACTCAAAATTATATTGTAGAATGTTGGGGCATGATGTTCAATTCTACGGTGCAACAGTATTTTTGAAAATCTTACTCCCTTGGGTCCTTAATAAAGTTCAAGTTTGACTTCACACAGATCAAGAAAATAAATTTGACTTTACTGTGGAGTGCACTGTTTGGACACTGTTTGGCACTGTTTTGCACTGTTTTGTTTTCTAAAATGGAAGTGTGAACTTAAATAAAGGACATCCCGAAAAGGAAAGTGAGAACTTTAATAAGGACCGGAGGGAGTAGTACATACTCCTCCGTCCCTGAAACAAGTTCCACATTTCCTTTTTGGGTAATACCTGAATTAAGTTTCTATTTCCTTATTTGGCAAATTATCTATATCAAAACAGTGTCAAACAGTGTCAAACAGTGCAAAACAGTGTCAAACAGTGTCCAAACAGTGCCCAAACAGTGTCTAAACAGTAAAATTTACACCCAGTAAATTTACTTCCTTAATATGTGTGAAAAGCAATGGGGGGAGGGAGGGAGTATATTAGAGACTGAAGGGGTGTTTGGATCTGATTCTCAAAACTGATTCTGCTCCTTCAGGGAGCAGAAGCAGAAGCTGAAGTGTTTGGGTGAAATTTCAGAAGCACTTCTGGTGCTCTAATTTACTCTTAGAATCAATTTTTTTAGAAGCTGGTAGGTACCAGCTTCTGAAAACTGATTCTGATTCTACTTCTGCTTTAAAAAAGAAGCAGAAGCAGAATCAGTTCCAAACACCCCTGAGAGACTTAGCTCGATCGAGTGAAAAAGGTCTAAAAGTGGAGGCATATTTTCTCGGTTCTATAATAATGGTCAAAGAAAGGATTTTTTAATTATAATTTGATTTATTCTCATATTTCAAAAAATTTATACTTTTATACGGAGCGTTTTCTTTCTATTTTTATTTAACCAATCACTACTTTTCAAGTCAATGATACTCAACTGTGACCGCGAGCTTATATATTATACACGATAATATTGATAATATGAAAATCATATGAAAATATTCTTTATTAAAAGTAATATCATAAAAGTACAAATTTATTAAGTTTCACATATATACTACGTACATTAGTTAAAATAATAGATCAAAGTTTATCATTTTGCTTTGACTGGAAAAGTCAAAGTTGGCTAAATAAAATACTACGTAGGACCGAGGTAGTATATTATGTTTTGTTTCCTTTAATTATATATTAACTGATTAATTATTATATTTTGTCACAAACATCGATCAACTTGTTAATTTGGTTTTGCGCTCCCACTCATATTATTTGGACATATATCTGTCTATGGAAACATGATCGATATGGTGTAATATTTGTGCAACGTAAAGTAATTTTTTTTATATGGACTCGACCTATAATTGACATATATGGCGGACTTTTATACTCCGTATAATTGTTCTTATTCGAATATTTCGAACAGTCAAATTATCTTAGCTTGAGTGGGTGCTGACTAACTGACTCCATAGAGATACGTATTAACATAACTTACATAAGCGAATGAAGGATTTTAAAAAGCTACGAGTACATAGAAATGCATTATGTGGGGGCTTCAATGAATAATGAAGGACGGGCTCAATAAATTAGGAGACCCGATGCAAATCACGTAAAATGGGTCTTATATTAAATAAATACTACGTATAATATAAAAAACAACCTTTAAAACATAACCAAAAAAGACTATAATCAAATGTGACATTGAGGTATAATCATATTTCGAACCTGAACACCCAAAATCGGTATAAAAAAATCTAAAACTGAAAAGAAATGAATTAAAATCATGAACTAAAAAATATAGAGTAGGATGTTAATGAAAAAACTACTCTCTCTGTCCCTTAAAACCAAGCTCGTCCAAACTGTACGAGGAATTTGTGCTAATTACTATATGGATTTTTTACAAGAATATTACTAAAATAAAACTCAACCACAACTTTTACATTTCCAATCACTTTATTAAAATTTGTGCCCAAAAGAAATGAGACCATCAAATTGGGACGGAGGGAGCATATTTTTTGCCGCGTTGGTCCGAACTGAGTGAGGGTGCAACGTTGGTTTTGGTTCTGGTTCTGGTTCGTTTGTTGCTCGGCACAGAGCACTAAATTCTCAAGATGATTTACTATAAACGATCTATCTATCTACTATGAATCTATCATTTTGGGTATATATATGGTTTAATTGTGTGGAGGACATGTGCCGCACCAACAATGTATTTGTATGAAACCAATTGTTATCTAAAAATTGGTTAGCGAAAATCGAAATTTATGTTTTCTGATGAGCGAGTCAATATGTTTTTTTCTATGGTGACAACTCCGGTACCCATTTAAAAAATGGGATACCATACCTATCATGCATTTGATTGGTCCAAATCATTAAATCCCTTTTAATTTAGATTTAAATAATTCAACTGCATGATTCTGATTGGTCCATGTGGACAAAGGTACGGTACCTTATGGGTACCATAGAATCTACCTTTTTCTATTAGTGAATGACTCTATGTCTAGACATATGAGACTTGTAATGTAATTTGAAGTATATATCCATGGATCTAGCTGTTTGCTTGCATGTTCGCATTATATTCAAATAAGTCTTTTACAATAAAACAACGTACCAATCTCATCTTTAAAGACATCAGAGGGTCGTCCTAGCTCTAATGTGGGAAGGAAATAGATCAGATGATAAAGCTTGAAACACCCATCATTCTCCAACTCAAAACACCACTACTAAAAATGAAGTCCGAAAGTAGTATTGCATTCTCATTTCTCCAAAAGCACTGAATTGAAGCGAAACCAAATCTCAAATGCTCAAAATCTACAACAAACCCAATCGGCTTAAATAACCTATGTAGCGAAAACTCTCGGGAAAGAGTACGTTTCCTGTTTCGGAAACTCTTTGGAAACTCTCCAAATGAGTCTTTTTGAGCAAAAGTTGATGTTTCCCGTTTCCTCATGATTTTTGCGTTTCTGTGCAACATAGTAAATAAACCCTTTGACAAATTTTTGCCTTAAAACGAGCTGAGTACGTACTCCTCTAGGTAGCAATCAATAGCTTGACAAACTCGATCCACTATGATCTATGAATCTATTAATTGTATAATTAGGTTCGACCGAGTGATCCAGCAGCTCTCGATATATATGTAAGTAGCTTTCGAACAGACATACGTAATATATAGTTTGAAGATTCACTCATTCACCTATATCCTTCCCACATTAGTTTGTTTATCTTTCTTATGTTTTTTTGAAGATTCACTCATTCACCTATATCCTTCCCACATTAGTTTGTTTATCTATCTTTTTCTTATGTTTTTATGTTATTTTATCTTATATTTATATTTATCTTATCAATTTTATCTTACTTTATCCTTTTATTTTTCTTCTCTTTATGACTTTGATATCATGGATCGATTCATATTAGTCCATCTCAAATTGTTTTATTGAAAATATAAGAACATGTATGTTATTGTTGTGATACACTACTAGAAAAATGCCCTACAGTGACACTATTTTAGTGACACTTTCTGATAAAACGGCATTACTAACATCAAAGTGTCACTGTTTTCCAAAAAAAAAATATGAGTATTGATTAGTGACACTATGTTTTTTTACGGAGTAGACGCGCACTCCTCAGCTCTCAGCTCCCTGCGAGACACTTAATTGGCTGGCCTTATTGGCCTTTTTCTTTTCTAACACTCACCCAATTCACTAAAAAAACATTGACTTAATTGGGCTGGCCTTAAGCCTTTTTTTTTTCCTAACATTCACGCAGATCGTAGAGTGAAGGTAGAGTGAAGAGCAACGAACCCTAACTGATCGAGTGAAGAGTTAGAATTTTCAGCCTTCTTTGCTAGATTTGCCGCGATTGTCGAGATCGAGTGCCTCCATCGTCGTCGATCCTCTGCGAAGAACGACACAACCACCCGTCAACGGTCAAGCATCTTCATCCTTGTCGCGCGATGGCTGCTATTGACTTCGAAGAAAGCCGCAACAGTTCAATCCGTGGTCGATAGCTTGCCTTCTACGAAGTACGACTGTGAAATTGTCATCTCTATTCCGTCAATCAATATATAGTTTGCTTCACCCCCTAGGTCAGGAGTCAATTCCAAGACAGTTCCAGTATCAATCGAGGGTAGCACCGGTTGCATTACCAAAGACCATCACATCTCAATTGTCTGTGAAGCAAACCTAAGGTTCGTATGTACGAATATTATATTGCAAATAGCAAATTCATGTTGTGATTTCAGTATGTCCTTTGATGGTTCATTTATGTCACTTGTGTGTTTCATTATGTGCGATTACATGATTCATTTCTGTCACTTGTGTGTTTCATTATGTGCGATTAAATGCTTCTTTATGTCTATTGTGTGTTTCATAATGTGAGATTTCAGTATGTATACATGTGTTTTGAAATTTTAAATTAACTTTAAAATGTTTTAAAAGAGCTAAATCAGTTTTCTGGCTAAATCTGATTTCTGGCTAAAAATTTCTCAAAACTAAGGTTTCGTATGCACAAATTACTATCAAATTATTATACGAAGTATGTATGTCTAATTTGTTTAAACTGTCAATAAAGATAATGACCTTTGTATGCCCCTATTTCACAGATTTTTTAGGGAAAATTTTGCAGGAACTTCTGAAAATGTCTGAGAATTTCTAAGGTTTTATGTTTGAATTTTTTTTATACAAGCCACATCTGGGCTATTGGCTGATATATCCCTAATTTTTCGGGGTCAAATGTTATTCATCTCATTTTTGTATAAACACAGTCAGCTACTAAGTTTACAGATATATCTGCGCAATCCCGTTATTTCAAACATTGGCTAAAGTTGTATGGGGTACACCCTTTAATTAAAGCAACCCAAACATGTTCATTAATGACTATAGTATTATTTGTGAATTTATGTTGACTGCAATACTCACATTTCTCTAATTGAAGTGTTATTTTTGAATTCACCAGACATGTATATGTTGTTTAAATCATAATGTTAAATATGTTGTTGGCATATAATAGTTATCAGGAAACTAGAGATGGATAGGTCATGGATAAAGGAAGGTAACAGACTGTGTGAAGCATACACAAATGGAGTTGATGAGTTTATACAGTTTGCTATTGTTAACTCAGAAAATCGTAGATCATTCAGGTGTCCGTGTAAAGATTGTTGCAACATGGAATTTGGTACTCCTGAAAAAATTAAAATGCATTTGTTGAGAGTAGGTTTCATGAAAACTTACCTTATTTGGAGTAGGCATGGAGAGACTGAACCGTCCCCTAACTTTATTCCGTCACAGTCAACATATCATGATCAAAATGAAGTTGACGAGATGTTAGGAGATATCTATGAACAACTAGATGGTAACCCAAAAGCTTTTAAGGAAGTAGTTGAAGATGCAGAAAAGCCATTGTACCAAGGGTCAAATTATACTAGGCTATCGGGGTTAATGTTGCTGTTCAATATTAAAGGGAAATATGGGTGGTCTGATCAAGGGTTCACAGCTTTATTAGAAGCTCTTTCAAGAATATTACCCGTTGACAATACTATTCCTAAGTCAATGTATGAAGCTAAGAAAATAATGAAGGTTTTAGGATTGGATTATCAAAAAATACATGCTTGCCGTAATGACTGCATTCTTTTTCATAAGCAACATAGTGACATTGAAGTCTGTCCCAAATGTGGTGAGTCTAGGTGGAAAGAAAAAAAAAATGGAGCCGTAACAGCTACCAATAGAATTCCTGAGAAAGTGATGTGGTATTTTCCTCCAATTCCTCGATTCAAGCGTATGTTCCAATCACCCCAAACTGCTGAACACTTGACATGGCATGCAAATCATCGCATTAAAGATGGGAAATTGCGTCATCCAGCCGATGCTCAAGCTTGGAAACACATTGATAAAGTCTGGCCTGATTTTAGTGAAGATCCCAGAAATCTTAGGTTGGCTCTTTCAAGTGATGGAGTAAATCCTCACAGTTCACTCAGCTCCTCGTACAGTGTTTGGCCTGTCCAATTGGTTATTTACAACCTTCCGCCTTGGTTGACCATGAAACGAAAGTTCATGATGTTATCTCTCTTAATATCTGGTCCTAAATTGCCCGGAAATGATATAGATGTCTATTTAGAACCCTTGATAGATGACCTAAACACTCTTTGGCATTTGGGTGTAGAAGTTTTCGATAGTTTTAGAAAGGAAACCTTCAAGTTAAGAGCTATACTGATGTGGACTATAAGCGACTTTCCTGCTTATGGTAATCTGTCCGCGTGCACTGTTAAGGGCTATTATGCTTGCCCCATTTGTGGTCCAGCCACTTCATCTACATGGCTGAAATGTAGCAAAAAATGTGTGTATATGAGCCATCGTCGCTTTTTACCTGATAACCATAGGTTTAGGGATCTTAAGAAACCTTTCAATAATAAAGTAGAGAGAGATGGAGCCCCTGCAACTCTCTCTGGTGAAGAGGTTCTCGAATTGGTAGAAGGGATAAATTATAAGAGTGGGAAGCGCAAGGACGGCAAACGAAAGAGAAGGTGTGATCAGAATGATGGAGGTGTGAACAAATTGTTCAAACGCAAATCAATTTTTTTTAACTTAGAGTATTGGCAGCATTTGCTAGTTCGTCACCTACTAGATGTGATGCACATTGAAAAGAATGTGTGCGAGAGCATCTATGGAACCCTTCTGGATCAATCGAAAAAGTCAAAGGATGGGCCCCAAGCTCGAAATGACCTTAGTCATTTGAAAATAAAGAAACACTTAATCCCTGAAGAAAATTCGAATTCTCTACCTCCGGCACCCTACACCTTGACCAAACAAGACAAACACAAATTCTGTGAAACCATTTTGGCAATAAAGGTACCAGATGGTTATTCCTCTAACCTGAAAAGCATTGTTTCTGATGATGAGAGTCACCTTCAAGGTCTCAAGTCTCATGATTGTCACACCCTGATGCAACAGATACTTCCCTTAGCCATTCGTGACATGTCAGTGGCTGAAAATGTTACCAATGCTATTACTAACTTCTGTTTATTCTTTAATAAATTGTGTGAGAAAGTGTTGGATATTGATTCACTTGATGAACTAGAGTCTAATCACCACATCACCATGTGTTGTTTTGAGCAATACTTTCTTCCTTCCTTTTTTGATATAATGGTTCATTTAACGGTCCATCTCGTTGCTCAAGTGAGATTATGTGGCCCGGTTTACCTTTGTTGGATGTACCCTTTTGAGAGAAGCATGAAGTTCTTAAAAGCGTATGTCCGCAATCATTACCATCCGGAGGGGTGCATGGCAGAATGTTATGCAGCTGAAGAAGCGCTTGAGTTTTGCGCTGAATATCTTGCAAATCACCAGTCTATTGGATTACCCGTAGATTGTGACAATATCGAGCCAATTGAGAGGCCCCTAGGACGTGGGGATACTAAAATAGTGGACTACTCCTTCCTCGAGCAAGCACATCGAACCGTTCTATTTAATACGCCAGAAGTTTTGCCGTACATACAGTAAGAATTCATTTTATGTTTCTCCATTCTGTCCATTTTTTCAAAAGCCAAATATCTTATTGTTTGTTCATAAATGAAAAAAGGCAGCACATGTTGGAGCTGCAATCAAACTTTGATGGTTGCTGTGAAACAGAGCATTATCGAGTCTTTGTCTCATGGTTTGAGGAGAAGGTTAAATGCTCTTTAATTTTATATTACTGAAAATACATATTTAACACAAATATATATATATATATATATATATATATATATATATATATATATATTGAACTTTAAATTTATAATGTGTAGGTCCATAATGATATTGCAAATGGTGTGTGTGTTGAGGAAATAGTCCAGTGGCTAGCAAAAAAACCAAACACAACCGTGACAACATATTCACGCTACATTGTAAATGGATATAGCTTTGCAACAAAGGATCGGGATTTGAATCGAGTAACACAAAATAGTGGGGTTACTCTTATAGCAGACACGACTGGAGATTCAAGCATGAATTACTATGGAGTCATTAAAGAAATCTGGGTCCTTCACTACCTCATGACTAAGAGGGTCGTTTTCAAGTGTGACTGGGTGCATAGTAGGCATGTGAAAAAAGACAAGTTGGGGTTCACATTAGTTGATCTAAATAAGATTGGTCACAAAACAGATTGTTTCATATTAGCCTCACATGCAAAGCAAGTTTTTTACGTGAAAGATCAACTTGATCCAAGAAAATCTATAGTTTGTTCAGTTGGTCAAAGGGTCAATAATTCTGCGGATACTGAATGTGATGAAATGATCATACATGAGCCCCTAACTTCACAATACCCAATAAATATTCCAGATTCGGGAACCATAGATGATGGTGATAGTCACCATAAACTGTCCTCTCAATGAAATGTCTGTGAGTGCGGAGTGCAATGTTTTTTCTTGTTACAATAAGTGACTCTTTGATGTTACAAATCTTTATAGGTGAATTTTTCAGATTTTCAGTTGTGTATTATTTAATTTAGTGTCTGTTTTGAAAGAACTAATTTTTTTTAATGTATTTCTCTATTTGTATATACAGGATGAAGTCAGCTTCAAAAAATCACAAGAAAGACACAAGAGATGTAGAGACAGAAGATGATATGGATGACTTGAACGAGAAACCAATTAGGCGACAGAAAACAAAGAAGAAAATGTTGCTTCAGAAATGCACTGATAAGAAAGTGGTGGTCAAAGTGAATGAGTTTGGTGTTCTTGCTGGTAAGGGCTGGACTGAATTGGTCAGTTACATTGGGGTGTTGGTGAGAGATTATGTGTCAATAATGTTTGATGATTGGAGAGCAGTTCCAGAGGAAGTCACCGACGGCATTTGGGGGAATATTCTGGTAAGTAATAAGATATTTATTATATACTACAAAGTATGAATAGATGTAGCAGTTCCAGAAAAGAAGCATGAATTTGAAAGTTGCCCTTTTTCTTTTCTTTCACTTTATATATTTCGTATTAATGTATTACCGAGTAGAAGAACAATGTCATTGACACTGACACTAGTTAATGTACAGGTTATGAATGGTTATGAATGTAAAAAAAAAGAATGCTTGTATATTAATGTCAGTGAACACTAGTAAAAAAGATTGTTCATTTTAAAGAAAACTTCATTAAGATACAATAATTATGATATTTTTGTTGTAGAATTTGTTTGACTTGCCTCCGAATTCAAGGAAACATGTCTACAGTGCAATGGGAGTTGCGCTAAAAAATTTCAGAAGCACGCTTCGCACGAAGTTCATCTGGAAGTTCAAGAATAATCGCGAGAAGTTACGCTCTCCTCCAGAAAAGTATAAGCAGATCACTACTGATGAATGGAGAATGTTTGTTAAAAAGACATTCAAAGAAGAATTTCAGGTTGTTATAATTGTTAAAGAAGTATTATTAAATAGTAATACATTTTTTTAACGGATACTTTATTATTTGTAAATGGTTTTAGGCGAAAAGTAAAAAAAGGAGAGAGAACCGGAAGAAGAATATATATAACCACCGACTGGGATCCACAGGTTATGCGGGGTTAATTGAGAAGAAGGTTTGTCCTCATCTTCTATGTTTTTATTAATTGATGTTTGGTTGTTTGGATGACTATTTTTTATTTTGTCAAAACTGACAGAAAAAAGAACTTGGAAGTAATGCGATAGTCATCGATCGATCAGACACGTGGCTGTGGGGAAGGGAAAAAAAGGGAGGCGGATATGACGATAGTGTGATTGAAGTGGCTAATGAAATCGTAAGTTTTATTTTATTAGAAATGGCATATTTTTAACCTTTTAATTATCACTGGTAGCTTACTTTGTTATAAATGGCTTACTTGGTTTCAAATTTATAAATGTTTGATGTATTTCAACTTTGTTGTAAATTTATAATTCTGTTACAGATTTAGTATGTATTTTTAACTCTGTTTCAAATTAATAAATACCTTATATTTTTATAAATAAAATCTATAATTGGTAGCTTGTTGTGCTTCTTGAAATCCAAAGTCATTGTTTATACTACTTCTACAACCAGTCTTTACATGAATATGTTATTTCGTTGGTACTTTAATTTATTGAATAAAAATACTGTTTTGATGTCTTTTCGCAGAAGGAGCTGAAGAACAAAGTTGCTGAAGGGACATTTACGCCAGTTGAAGACAAAGATGTTCTTGCAGTTGCTCTTCAGAAAAAACCCAATGGTAGTAGAATACAGGGTGTAGGGCACTTCATAACCCCAACAATGTACTTCCACAGGCCAAGTGTTGCGATAACTGAGAAGGAGAAAGAAAAGAAAATATGTGATAAAAGATACAAAATGATGTTGGACAAGTTTGATGAAATGAAAACTTGTATGTCGAATGGTTTTAGTGAAATTGGCAGTTGTAGTATTGCCAATAAGTCTAAAAAGAGAAAGGTATATACACACATTTAGTACATTCGTCCATATCCTATTACAAGTACAGTTAAAGCTAATGTATTTGGTTATTTTTCATTCCAAGTCCGGTGGAGAGGTGGATCAGCCCATTTGTACTCCTAGGAGATCTCCTAGACTGAAGTCAAAGCAGAATAATGAGGACGAACAACTTGAGGAAGGGAATGAAGGAAACAGAGATGTATACAGCTACTCTTTATCTCCACCATGCATTTCATGTAACAAATTTATTATATTTCAGCTTTTGTTACTGGTCTACTTAATAAATAATTATATTTCTTTAAATAGAGTACTACGGCGATGAGGAAATCAAGGAAATCAAACTCTACTCCTCGGAAAAGGCTGTTTGAAACTGTTCCTAAAATATCGCCGCGGCGTGTAAGAACAGAGACTTCACCGGACATGTCTGACGAGGAGGTGACACATATAATTACATGTTTTAGTTTATTAAAGTTCATAGTATTAGTCACCAATTTAATTACATGTTTCAACTTATACTCTGTGTTAAATAGGATATGGATGAAGATAAACAGCAGCCTCAGCACAAGGTTAAAAGTTCCCGTAGAGAGAAAGGGAAAAAGGCTAGAAAATCCCTTTCAAAGTATCAAAGTTCTAAGGAGGTAACATATCTAGTTACTAAAAAATCTATATTTATAAGTTTTGTTACTTCAACTTTTATTTGTATATACTCAGTTATATATTTATATATCATTAAAGTTGGTATTATTAATCACTGAGTCGATTACATATTTTAACTTATACTCTGTGTTAAATAGAATATGGATGAAGGTAAAGAGCAGCCTCTCCCAAGGGTTCAAAGTTTCGAAAGACAGGATGACGAAAATGATAGAGAGCCTCTATCAAAGTTTCAAAGTTTAAAGGAGGTGACATATGTAGTAACTAAAAAAATCTATATTTATAAGTTTTCTTACTAAGTTAGATGTTTTTATATTATTAAAGTTGATATTATTAATCACCTATTGGATTACATGTTTTAACTTAGACTATGTGTTAAATAGAATATGGATGAAGGTAAAGAGCAGCCTCTCCCAAGGGTTCAAAGTTTCGAAAGACTGGATGACGAAAATGATAGAGAGCCTCTATCAAAGTTTCAAAGTTTAAAGGAGGTGACATATGTAGTAACTAAAAAAATCTATATTTATAAGTTTTCTAACTAAGTTAGATGTTTTTATATTATTAAAGTTGATATTATTAATCACCTATTGGATTACATGTTTTAACTTAGACTGTGTTAAATAGGATATGAATGAATATGAAGAGCAACCTCTGGTAGGGGTTCAAAGTTTCCAAACAGAGGAGAGCAAATATGATAGAAAACCTCTTGCAAGGTTTCACAGTTCAAAGGAGGTAACATATCTAAGTTACTAAAAAATCAACATTTTGTGATCTAAAAGACTGGAAGGAAGGTTGTTTACTAAGATTTTGCTAGAGCAGCCATATCTCTTGCAGAGGTGATTCATTTCTTGGGATGGTTTGTCATGGTCATATCACTCAATTACCAGTTTTTGCTAGATTAGTTCAAACACAATATATCTTTGAAATAATAAATCAATTTGGCTGCAAGTGCCGGGATAGCCTAGCACCATTAATTTGCGTTGGCTGTGAACAACTTTTTCTTCTTAGGCCCCTTTATAGTAATCTCATAATCTAAGGAGGAACTGAGCTTAACAACTGTAATAAAAGGAGGAATTGATCTTAACACTGATTAGCAGTATATTTAACTCCTTTTACCAGCTACAGAGCAATAAAGACTGTCATATTAATCTCAAATTGATCACATGTTTGAACTTATACTTTGTGTTAAATAGGATATGATGAGTGAAGATGAAGAGCAGCCTCAGAAGAAGATGAAGATAACAACAAAGCCTGACAATGAAGTGATCGAGGATAATCCTGAAGATCTGGAGAGGTGTGGTGTGGTGGTTGTCAAAGAGAAGAGAGCAAAAATGAAAGCAAAACCCCCACTAAATATGCAAAGAAGGACAAGGGCGGTTGCCGAAAAGAAAAGAAGTCCAAGTGCTAACTTGCAAATGTTTTCCATTTTAGTTGAGAACTGTCTTGGTGATGAGTGCACAATCAGCCATGGTGCGGAAATATTTGGGTTCGAAACTAAATCTGTGTTTAACAAGGATGTTTGCCGGTTAGTCATCAACTTTGAGGAGGTTTCAAACTCCATAATTGAGATTTGGTCGAGGTATTAAGTTGATATTTTATAATACCGAGTATCAGTTGGTTTATATTTAAATTAGGTAAAACTGGTAGTAGTTGAATTAACATTGCTTAGTAGTTTGTACTTGTTCTACTCGGATCAGTAGTAACTTAATACTTCATTCATATACAAGGTACTTGCACGAGCAGATGATAAATGAAGGAGGGGAGATCCTTGTTCAGTTTGGTACATCTTCAGCGGTACGAAAACCGAAGAAGCAAACCGTGCAATCTGTAACAAAGAGGTCGCAGTATATAGCCGATCTCTTAGGCGTTGCATTGCTCGGACAGATCACATTAATCCCCTATAATACTGGGTAATTTTAAATCATCGCAAAATGCTGTCTTTTTTATGCCAGAGTATCTTTGAATTTGTATGACATAATTACAAAATTGTGATATGTAGAAATCATTGGGTCTTGACTGCAATTGACATGGCTAGGCAAACAGTATATTACTTGGACTCTATAGGAGGATCTCCAGTAGAAGATTTGGAAAGCATAGTGAATCAGTTAAGTTAAAAGCAAAATTAAACATTATGTGTGCTTTTTTGTTCTTATTCATAGCCCCTTTAAAGTTCTTTTTAATAATGACATTTTCTCTTTTGTTTCCAGAGGAGTGAGGATTCATCATGCCTCAACTTCTAAGAATAGGATGAATCTGAAATGGGTGCGAGTCATGGTATGTGCATTTAATTTAAGTCTTGGGAGTGAAATATATACCTTATACATTCATACAATTTACACATGTGATGCGTGTAAAAATTTATGTAATTTATGTAACTGTGATAATGATAGGAAAAAACATATTGTTTCCCCGGTGAATTTTAACATGCTGAAATTTAGGTAGTTTTTCTTGATAAAGAAATTTAGGTACCTTCACTAACATGCTGAAACTTAGGTAGTTTGCTTATATTGTGTATATGCTTAGAGGTTTCTTTGTAGGAAAGTGCATTAATCTGGAAATACAATCCTTTCCATTTCCTGGGATCCCAACACCAAGGAAAAACTTGGCCAAACCTTAAATCTTTTCCCCAGGAATCTGTAACCACAAGTCATAACAAGAAGGAAAAATGATTAAACTAGGCCAAATCTTTTCCTGGGATTCCATTGTGAGTTTTGTTTTAAATTTGAAGTGATGGTCCTGTTTGGATTAAAAAATGCAGTGCCCGAAGCAAGCAGGAGGAATGGAATGTGGTTATTTTGTTATGAAATATATGAAAGACATTGCGTCCGATGTCAAACTCTTGGAACAAAATGTGAGTTAATAAGAATCTATGTTCTTTTATTACTTCTTTACTTCCAAAGTGCTAATATAATTTGTAATTTTTTATTGTAGTTCTCTGAAATTAAGGAGTACAGTGACAATGATATTTTGGGAATACGTGAAGAGTGGGCTACATATGCAGCTACTTTGATAACAAGTAAGTTTATAGTTCAAAAGTGAAGAACACAATTTAAGTTTGGTACTATATATGGATGTTAGTTGTCTGGTTGGGCGATATGTACTTATGAACATAGTGATCATTTTTCAGTGTTGATGAATGAGGCTGCTAGGAAGACTTGATCATGTGAAGCTGACTGGGCGATATGTACTTATGAACTGTTATTGGCGTTGTATGTACGATGTGTAGGATGCTCACTTTTTGGACAAAACTATGTAGTTGCTTAGAATTCTATTAACCAGTACTTACTTTTTGGAAAATCACTTTTGTGTTGGAACTTGCTGGAATTTTTGTCATGTTTTGTCCAGCATACCTAGAACGCAAAGTTCAACAACAATGTAGCTTGGAGTTTGACATGAATATTCTGCTTTAAATGTTCCATGTATGTTTGAGATTTATTGACTTTATACTTTGTGAGATTAGATAATATTTGAACTGGATTTTTTTTAAATATAATTGAAATAGATTTTCTAAATTACCCATGAAATGGAATGTTGAAATAATGCAAACCAAAGTGTCACCAAAGTGTCACTAAAGTATGATACCACAGTGTAACTAGAAAATGTGATGTAAAAGTGTCACCAGTAGTTATGTCACCTAAGTATCACTAACTGGTGATACCGTAGTGTCACTAGAATATGTGATGGAAAAGTGTCACCGAATAGTTATGACACCTAAGTATCACTAACTGGTGATACCATAGTGTCACTAGAATATGTGATGGAAAAGTGTCACCGAATAGTTATGTCACATATGTATCACTAACTGGTGATACCATAGTGTCACAATTTTGTGACACTTCTAGTGACACTTAAAAAGTGTCACAATTTCCCACTTTCATTGACACTTTTTTAGTGTCACAGAAACTTTCAGTGACACTAATTTGGTGTCACTGTAGGGCATTTTTCTAGTAGTGATAGCAAAACCTACATAGCTAGATCACCCCTAATTCGTCCCATAACATGTTATGACGCTTTTCATTGGGTTTTTGCCTGAGTTAATTTCAATAAAACTCAACTAATGGACGAAATAAAAAATTCTACGGATCGTAGAGATCACCTACCTTCCTTCTTTACTTTTGTCCATGTTTAAATGAGATTTGTTTAAATCTTATATTAGGTCATCCTTCAAAAAAAAACCTATATTAGGTCATGTTCGATTTAAATAGATCATTTCGGATAGATTAGACCTAAACAATAATAAAATACACATCTCTCATTTGTTTAAAGTAGATTTAAATAGACCAGCTAGATCAAATTAGATCAAATCATCAAATTTCAATGGATTAAACCATTTCGTAGACTGTAACAAACTAGGTTAGATTAAATTGGACCAGAAAATTTTAATTGAATTAAAAATATCCTATTTATCCATGTAATTAATTTTACGTTTCAAATCATAAAATAACCCCTCGTTAGTCCATTCGAAGTCACTTATGGCCGGAAAAGAATCGTTTCTTTTGATATCAATTATTATTGATCCCACAATTTGAGTTGACTCCAATTAATTTTCTACATTAGTCTTTCACAATAACTCGAGAACGTGACAATTGACATTAATGCTAATAATATTCCACCTTTGCTCGAGTTTGGGTCACTTCAATGAATGAATGAATAAACTAAAGACCAAAACCTTTATGATAAACATACTTCCTCAGTTCTTTTTTAATTGCAACGGTCAACATTTCACACTTGCCAACGCACGTCTTTCACCGTAATTATATCTTAATATCTATTAGTAAAAAATATTTAAAAAATAGATTTTGCAAATTTGTAATGAGATGAATTGAACAATGTTTTTTTAAAAAAATATTTTTCATAAAATAATAATATAAAATGTAGTCAAAGTAGAACATGTGAATAGTGTAAAATTCAACATGTTGCGAATAAAAAGAGACGGAGGATAGTATATATTACGCTGGTTTTTTAAAACCAAACAATAAACGTATACATGCATGTGTACTCATCGTGACCTTCAAGTTTATGAAATACTTCGTACTATCGTATCTCCTAAAACGAGAAATATTTAATATTTGTGTAATTGGGTGAGAAAGGTTTTTTGTATAATTTTATGGTGGCCACATATGTGAATAAATGTGATGAATCTTCCTAATTAATTTTGGGAAAACTATCAAATAGATTCTCAAATTTTCATAAAAAGGCCAAATAATAGAGCACGAATTACTCCATATTTCTCCACACACCGCTTTAAAATACATGTCCATATTGAGCACGGTACAAATTACTCCAGATTTTCATAAATAATCGGTTGTTTAACTTTGATTTTATAAAAAAGAAGGAGCGATCATTTTAAAAAATTAAATGATATCAGAATACCTATTAAAATCACAGGGCCTACAATCTTAAGAGGGCCTATTAAAAACCCAGATATTTGTTTCAGAAAATATTTGTTTCGGGGAATCGATCATTAATCTTAAATGGAAAACTGCAGTGCCTCTACCATGGGTCTAACTAGACCCGTTTGATTATTTTTCTCTTCAAGCAAAGGAATATCTTTCCTAATAAATTGTTTAGTTCAGACTAATTTTGCTAGTTCTTGCTTTCTAATTATCTCCGTAATTAATAATCTATTACGGAGTATGTTAAGTGAAAATACCAACACTCTGTAACACTCAATATTATCTATCTAGAATTTTTTTAAATGTATTACATGGTATATATTTAGAAAAATAATTATATTTCTATATTAAAAGTTAGTAAAATCCTTATTTGTCTTACAGTTTCACATTTTGTGAATTATAGTTGAAGTCTTACATGCGATCTACAATGTCATAAGAAACACTCAATGGATTAGTTTTAGTAGCAATTGAGAGTGATCTACGTAAGAAAATTGCATATCAATACATTATCGAAGATTTTGTTTCAAATTTTTTTAGAGAGAGTATTGTTTAAATAAGTGTAGTTTAAGTTCAAAATTTTGAATGAAATTTTGATACTCTTGGTATTTACTTCATTTGATTTTTTATTGTATTATTAGCATTATTTTTTTTGTATCAAATATTAGGGCCTCTAATTTTATTTTGAACAGGGCCTTCAATTTTTCCAGGACCGGGCCTGTAAAATTACTTATGTTTTTCTCTCATATTTGTTTGTATTGTTTAGCTTTAATTTTGTGTTGAACAAATGTGATACATAGCAATAAGCAACTTGTTAGTTTATTCGCTTATAATTCACGTATATTAATTACACTCAAACGTATAATTCATGTATAGTATCCTGTTTATGAATTTTTTTCAGAAAATTCTGAAAAATTCACGCACTTTAATGATAAAATATATAATACACGTATGTACGAATTGATATGTATTTGTTTTTTAAAAAAATTGAACTGAAGCCTAATAGATCAGAGTGGTACAATTGAAGCGAAATGTTTGTCAGCTCAATACTATTCATATTGCTTAAAAAGTTGTTATGCCATGTACATTCGTTAATTGTTTAATATTCCTTAGTTATTAGTTTTAATAAATTAGTTCCTTAAAGTCATAATACTTTTCGATATTATTATTGTATCACTATTTTGTTACTCGTGTGCTCCACTTACACCAAGACTCTAAAGAGAAAAGAATATTGCAGCAGCTCAACAAATTCACGATCACAATAATATCAACAATTATCTAGTAATATTTCTTTACTTCTACTTCACGGATGAAATGTTAAATCACTCTTTATTTTGATCATTAAATTAGTATATAAGGCATGTATTATATGTCATATTTTTAAACTATGAAACGTCTAAAACACGTATGTATCTTTATACATTTCATAAACGTATGAAACATATATTTAGCCGTATTTTACATGTATTGTATTATTACACGAGTGTTCGTATTATTGTATTCACGAATCGTGTAAAGCAACACTTCATCGACTTTTGTCCTGTGTGATCATACGTGACATAAAAAATGAAAAAAATTAATTGAAATTTATGTATATAACTATATAAGAGAGAAATAATAAAATCACAAAGTACATGGAAACTGATAATTAATAGTATTTTTGAGATAATTAGAGAAAAAATGATTAAGTTGATGTGGACCGTGGAGTATAATACGTAGCAACTAATTAATGGCACGGCCGGAGGAATTCCTTAGCTTTGATTGAGTTGAAGTCTGATGAAACGAGCTGAAAATTAACATTTGACAATGTCATGAGATACGAACCACCAAACAGTCCAGGTTCATTAATTGATAAAGAAATTGAGAATAGACAATACCGTATATATGATACGAGTAATTGACAACGCCATGAGAATTCTAGCTGCCAAAGAGTCTAGATACATTACTTGAGAATGGGAACAAAAGAATCACATCCTAATGCTTTTGATTTTTTATTTCCCATTTATATTTAATATTTAAAGTTTGTTTGATAACACTTAAATTTATCAATCTGCTCAATGCATAATTAATAAAAATCTGTTGAATAATAAAATTATATTCAAAGTATATTAGAGTAATTAATAAAATGAAGAAAATATATATTAAGATTAAGAAAGTTACAATCGTTTTCTTTCGTCCAACTAAGTATTTTAAGCTGGTTTATTTTGTATATCTCATATTTTAGCACGTCAAATATCTACTATCTTAGTATAAATATTCACCACTACAAAAGGTGTCCTTTTTTAGGCTTTCAGGAGCAGCTAATACTCTAAATCTCTAATAAGACTCACCAATAGTGTTTACTCCCTCCGCCCCTCTAACTTTGTTCCGTTTTACCTTTTCCGTCTGTCCGTTAAGTTTGTCTCATACCATATTTTGTAATGTTTGAGTGGTTATAATGCATTCTTACTTTATTCACACTTTATCAATTCAATATCAACCACACAATTCTACTTTTTCTTAAAAACAACATCACACCCCTTTGTCCCAAACTTAGAGAGACAGATGTAGTAGTGAGTAATACTACGGATTTGTTATGATTGTAGTACATAACAGAAGCAAAAAACTTTTGATGTTGTTATAGAACAACCGCATGTCCGCATAAAAAAGTATCTATTTTTTCGGGGTAATACGCTTTGCTGCAATGAGATTCAAACATATAACTAGGGGTGGACTCGGACCGGGCGGCCCGACCCGGAACCGGCCCGGCCCGGTTACTGTTTGGCCCGGCCCGGCCCGGGGCCCGGTGGGTCCAACGGTTCGGTTTGGCCCGGCCCGGGTGATGGGCGGTCCGGGCTCGGGCCCTGCTTTAGGCGAACCGGCCCGGCCGGTTCGGGCCCAGTCCGGGCCGGATTTTAATTTTTTTTTTTGAATTTTTTTTAAGTTTTGGGTTGGATTAGGTATTTTGGGCCATTTGAGGTGGTTTGGGGTTGAGGGGGAGGGGTAGGGGGTTAAATAGGAGAACCAAAAAAAAATGGA